CCTTAGTAATACATTATATATCAATTTTCGACAAATCAATTTTCTACAAAGACCTTCTTTGATCCCATTTCTATTTTCAGTGAGTACTACCTCTTCCGTTATGAGTCTGTTACCTCTTGTGTATGCTTCACTTCCATATTCCAATGACTGTATAAACTACTTTTCAAGACACCCACTAGAGTACACTGTAATTTGGAATATGTGATTAACCTATTCATCTCTTTCTTTTAAAAAAATCTTATTCTTGCTCACATTGGAAAGTATAAATTTTTAACTGATTTTATGTGGAAAATTTTACATCCTTTTGCTTATTTAAAATCTAGACCAGTTCCTCTATGATGTCCTTTATGATTGGAGAGCAATGAAAATTGTGCATACATTCCTTTTTTTTTTAAAGATTTTATTTATTTATTTGAGAGAGAGAATGAGAGAGAGAGAGAGAGCATGAGAGGGGGAGGGTCAGAGGGAGAAGCAGACTCCCTGCTGAGCAGGGAGCCCGATGCAGGACTCGATCCCGGGACTCCAGGATCATGACCTGAGCCGAAGGCAGTCGCTTAACCAACTGAGCCACCCAGGCGCCCTGTGCATACATTCCTAAGGAGAATGATCACAATTTTGTTTATGGATAATATTGTTTTATTACCATATAAGAACAATGAGCATTTTGTTGCCTTTCTTGTTACAGCAGCACATTAAATCATTGTCTGGAGATAGTATGTTGGGTGTTCTTTTTGCTCAGTCTCCACTGCATTTGTATGAAATAGATTTTCCAACCCAAAATACTCATAACACTCTCTACCCTGCTACAAATCACATACTGAATGTAATATTCTACACTACTAGCACTGAATAATATTCATACGGACAGCATTTCTGGATTCATGTACCTTTAACATTCTTTGAACTCTTATAGATTAGTATATATGCCTATATGGGTGTATTCACCTGTATTTGTTAATTTTTTTTTATTTTTTAAAAGATTTTATTTATTTATTTGACAGAGAGAGACACAGCGACAGAGGGAACACAAGCAGAGGGAGTGGGGGAGGGAGAAGCAGGCTTCCTGCGGAGCAGGGAGCCCAATGCGGGGCTCCATCCCAGGACCCTGGGATCATGACCTGAGCTGAAGGCAGACGCTTAACGACTGAACCACCCAGGTGCCCCTGTATTTGTTAATTTGTATATAATTCATCCTCTTAGTAATTTTTTTCATTCCTACTGATAAAACCTTACCTTAGATGTTCGTAAACATCTTTGTTTAAAAGACTTTTTACTTTGGTAAAGTCTTAATTTCCAGAAAGAGAATGAATATGTGGTTAATTTTGTCTTATTCTTTCTCAGTCCCTTCTTCTTGTCTTATTTTTGTCCTTGTGCCTTCTAATGTTGGTCTAAAATAATTATCAGTAAATTTAATTGACAATATCAAATCGAGACATTTAAAACTAAAAATTTTCTTAATTCCTGTACTATTTAATTTATGCATATATAAACTTCCTATGTCAAAATCTCCAAGAGTTTCCTCTTTAAAATGATTTGTTTCAGCCAGCTGGAATGTGTAGTTTTTACTTGGACTGTATTGAGAGCAAATAAATCTGAATATTAATTATTCCCTCAATAGCAGATTCTTTTCCAAACTATGTCAATGCAATATATTAAAAATATTCAGCTTTGAGGAGTACACATTGAAGCTAAATGTGGACTTCAGAGACATTTCTTTCTCTAATCCTGCAAATCATATGTAATGGTTTACATAAGCACAGAAATCTTTGTACATTCACTGTATCTATGAAATATTCCAGGAAAATCATGGTTAGGGCTTTTCCTACTAGAATAGCATTATCTAAAATGGAACTTAAATGGCTATTAGAGGAAGTGAGATACTATGATGCACTGTGAACTTTGGCTTGCTCTTCTTAGAGCAGATGTCTTCCTAAGGGTATAGGTGGAGAATCATTTTACCCTATGTGTGAAGTAGAAACTGACTTCTTCCTATTTTCCTTGAGTAAACATACTATTACTTCCAGAACTGAGAAATTTTAGGTCTAAAGGCTGTTACTTGGTTCAGTCTATTATTTGTAGAAAAAGAAAAAAAAATCCTATCCTCTTTATATTGTCTAATTAAAGTCCAGAAGAATCTGACACTTGGGGGAAAAAAGCAGAACCAGAAGGGAAAGAGGATCTGTTCTTGACAGGAGGTATTGTTTCCTTTCTTAACTTTCATGGAACACACTAAAAGAGTATTTAAAATCGCCACATGTAGTTTGTCCCTTCCAGCTGGACATGGCACCAGTCCAGAGAATAATGATGACATGAGCAAGGTGATTTTAAAGGGACCCACATAAGCTGATCTCTTTTTTCTGCAGATGACACAAATAGAAAGCTTTGAGCAAGAGTGGAAAGACACACTATCACTTGCCTTTCCCCTCTGAAGAAGCTGGGACACATTCTGCTCAGCCAACATGTTCCCAGAGGAATGTGATTTAACTTCCACTTTTCACACAGTAAGAAGCAACACTGGAGACCTGTCGGGAGGGTGATAGCAGCCTGGGAGGAATTTGGATAAGTGTTTTTCACTCCAGTGTTTTCATGTGACTTGACTCTCATCTCAATTTAGTTACATCTTGACCTGGAAAATGCTGCCAATGTTTGCCTTTCTTCATTTGGCTTACCTTGATTCATTATATGCATATCCCTCCTTTCCCTACTCCCACCCTATGCAGCCTTTCCCCCAAAACCTACTAATAGACTTTCTCTAGATGTTTACACATGTATTAACTCTGTTTCCCTCAGTAGGAGCTTTACTTCCAGGGAGGGAAAATGTATTTGGGTCCTTGAAATATATACAAAGAATATTCAACTAAAGCAGCCTAAGATGTTCCCTACTCCTTTTGGCAGATCTGACTATTCATATATCTGGCAGCTTCTTTAAGAACCCTCTGGTAGCAGAGAAATTAATACTTCTTACTTCTCCCTAGCTTTTTTCCCCTCCCCCCTCCATCAAACGACTGATTTTTATGCATGAGACAATAGACAAGCCTTGGGTGACCTGTTTTTTTCCCCCTCCCCCCTCCCTCTTTTTTCCTTGCGGTAAAATAGTGCTGAAGAAAGAGGGCACTAGTGTACAGCCCAGATCGCATCCTTGCACCGTCTGGATTAGAGCTGAGGCGTCTGCGAACCGAGCGTGGCCCGAGCGGTGTTCTAGCCCGAGGACCATTGTGCTGTCTACCCGGACTCAGGTACGTCTCAAGTCCAATTCTCCAAGCAGACCCAGGTGAGCAGACACCTCCGGGAGGTGAAACCCACCCACAGTGGCAGACACAGTCCCAATCTATGGGATTTCCTCCTGGTCCCAGGGGCATCTCCGCTTATTTCTTTTAGTCCAGCATCCCTGGGAAGCGTCGGGACCCATGGATGCCTGGGTTGTCTTCCTCCTTTTGCCTGGCTCACCTCCTGTGCTCTTGCTCCTCGCCCGCTCCCGTAGCTCCTTTCTCGTCCGACTCTCACCTTGAGAAAGGGAGCTGGGGAGGAACGAGAGGGAGCCAACTTCAGCCCCACAGGCGGCTGAGATTTGGCACCTCTGCCCCCGAAGCGGGCGGTTTTGAATATACCTGCAGGAGCACTGCCTCCAAGGAGAAGAGAATGAGAATGGAGGGGTGGTGGGAGACAAGGGGAGGGGTGTGTGTGTGTGTGTGTGTGTGTGTGTGTGTGTGTGTGTGTGTGAGAGAGAGAGAACGCAGGGGGGAGGGTTAAAAGAGCGAAGTCGGGGGTTGGGAGGGGGTCAAAAAATTGCAAAAGGCGTCCCCTCCAGGCGCAGCGGGGGAGTGTTTCTGCGGCGGGACTGAGCACTGTCCAGGGTTCTGAAGAAGGCAGCGCTTGAGCTACCGCTGCAAGAACTACCCAGAAGCTCCCCTCCGCTCCCTTTCTAGAAACGTGCAAAGCCAAAGGTCCCGATTTAGGCGAGTGCAGGGGCTCCCTACACCCCCTCCCTCCATCCTCCATCGTAGGAAACAAATTACCTTATCTGCACCCTTTCTCCCTGAACATCTACAGTAAGCCTGACTTCTTGGGTGTGTGTGGGGTTTGGGGGGGCGGGGGTGTGGGAGACATACCAAACTCCGACATGCCGAGACTTTACCAGGCGTTGCCTTAGTAACTAATAAGGATTTCCTCAACCTGGCAAATTATATTTACTACTTGGGTTGTATGTTGAGATCTCTTCAACCCCTCAAAGTTGAAGATGCATTCCTTTTTTGCGTTCATCTTGAAGTACTGTTTACACTCCTTCATAATGAGTTTCCAAATTTCTTCTGGAAAAAGTTGATCTTTTCAAATCCGAAAAGTTCTTTTGAGTTAAAAGCCTTAGCTCCTCCTCTCCTTTATTCCTTTTCCCCGTCAAGTCTGTAAGTGTAATGGGTATTTGGGGACCTGGAAAAGGCTTGAAGCTGAAGGAAGGGGCAGGTCGGCAGGGCTTTGCGCCTCCAGGGACGGATGAGGGCACTGCGGGCAGGACGCACCACCTTCCGCCTTGACCATAGCTGCCTCCCAAGCTGTCCTTCCAGCCGATATCATGATGTGCTGGAATGAAATAGACCGGGCAACTATTAACATCACGGACCCGGAGTTTTGAAACAGGTCCTGTGATAACGGAGCTTTGATTTTCTTCCTTTTTTGTTGGCAGCGTCCAGCTCACGGCTGCCACCACGGCGTCCATTGTACTCTTGACCAGTTTACTTTGATGCACCAGTGAAGAAGGGGGCTCGAATTCCCCTAGAAACGCCTCCAGGACAAGGAGGTGGTCCTGGAGGACCAGGAGGAGGAGGAGGAGGGGAAGGAGGCAGGGGTGCAGGCGGCGAAAGTGTTGGACCAGCGGTGTTGGCAAGCAGGACCGAGCTGGGAGAGGCAGGCGTCGGGCATCTGTCTACGTTGTGAGCCCGCAGAGCCGGCTGGCAGGACCAGCGTGGGAACGCGGCTGGCCGGCTGTGGACGGCGTCCTCAGCACAATGGTCCGGCTCCTCTTGGTTTTTTTCCCAGCGATCTTTTTGGATATGTCCCTTCTTCCCAGGGGACCCGATAGGAAAGTGTTGCTGGCGGGAGCCTCATCTCAGCGCTCGGTGGCCAGAATGGACGGAGATGTCATCATTGGGGCCCTCTTCTCAGTCCACCACCAGCCCCCGGCGGAGAAGGTGCCCGAGAGGAAGTGTGGAGAGATCAGGGAGCAGTATGGCATCCAGAGAGTGGAGGCCATGTTCCATACATTGGATAAAATTAACGCAGACCCGGTCCTCCTGCCCAATATCACTCTGGGCAGTGAGATCCGGGACTCCTGCTGGCACTCCTCCGTGGCTCTGGAGCAGAGCATCGAGTTCATCAGGGACTCTCTGATTTCCATTCGAGATGAAAAGGATGGGCTCAACCGGTGCCTGCCTGATGGCCAGTCCCTCCCCTTAGGCAGGACTAAAAAACCTATCGCCGGTGTGATCGGCCCAGGCTCCAGCTCCGTAGCCATTCAAGTGCAGAACCTGCTCCAGCTCTTCGACATCCCCCAGATTGCCTATTCTGCCACAAGCATCGACCTGAGTGACAAAACTTTGTACAAATACTTCCTGAGGGTTGTCCCTTCTGACACTTTGCAAGCAAGGGCAATGCTTGACATAGTCAAACGTTACAATTGGACCTATGTCTCTGCAGTCCACACAGAAGGTAGGCATTGCATTTGGGAAGGAAAGGTATAGAGAAAGCGAGTACATTGCATGATGTGCAGTCGTGATCGTAGTATTGTCCCTATTTATTAACAGCACTGTGGGGAACAGATTTTACCCTTGTCAGTACACGCCCACCAAGGCTTTGCCTTTTATCCTCATTCTGTAATGATAGTGTACGAAAACTGTGTCCCACTGTGTTTTGGCGATAGTAGGAGTCTTATCAGATACAAACTCTCCATGAACAGCGTCCAACTGAGTCACATTCTGAGTTTGTGTTTGAAAGGCTTGTTTGCCCAAAGTGGTATACTACCCTTAATTAAGTGACTGGCTATGATTTTCCAAGCTTAATAGACTAATCCAATATGAGCAATTAGGAAAACAAAAAAACAAAAACAAAAAAACTTGTTGTCCCCTAAATTGGGCTTGAAAGCTTGATCTTGTCTTGAACAGCTGAAGGTTCTTCTTTGTCTTAATGTGCCTCTTCTTTCACATCCAGAGCTTACCTGTGAATGTTGGATTAATGCAGTCATCTCCCTCAGTATATCAGAAACTTATTTCAAATTCTGGAGTATCTTAGATACAATGGAAAAGTAAATAATTTAAATCATTTATTTATTTTCTATTACCTATGTTAAAATTGTCCAGATGCCCTCACTCCTCCCAAGAATTTTCTTGTTTTTGAGAAATAACACTGGTGACTTCTTGGATTTGAGTTTCAGTTTCTAATTTTTTTCTTCTTACACAGTGACTTTGCTCATTAGAATTTAGTTAGATCAATTACTAATAAAAGGATAGTAGATATTAGTTTTAAAATGGCTTTTAAAAATGAAATAGATTTACTTGAGGTTTAAAACTTTGATTTTTAGAGAATCTTACTTTCATGAATTCTCAAAGTATTTCTTATAAAGATTTCCCTTACTCTCCTCCTCTTAGCCTGTATAGATTTGGGGATAAAATGAGACTTTTGAATCATCTATTCTTAACTCACTTATTATGTTTATAAAGAAACTGATTAAACATTAATGCCTAGGACATATATATATGCTGGCATATGGAAGAGAATCTTGAGGATATTGCTGCATTCATATTTCTTAATGTCAAATTATTAAAAGAAAAGCCAGGAAAGAAAGGCATGATTTCATAATCTTTTAACAGTTACACAATATTCAGTTACTGGTGTGAAGTCTGATTTTAGAAATTAAGAAGCATTGTTACTGAAGTGGTTATATGGTGATTGTTAATGAAAGCCAGTGCTTTAATTTATAAAGGGAGCAGTTTTCAGGACAAACAAAAATAATGTAGAATTATACATTATAATTTCAGAGTTTGCTTTTGGGGAAAAAACAACTTCCTGCTGCAATATTGTGACTTCTAACAACTGACTCAAATTTCCGAATCTTCATTTTTAATAGTGAATGGCATACCTCTTTTTTAACAAAATCTCATATAACTTTTTTAAGACACAATTTTAAGTTCAAATGTTAATCTCTTACATATTAATGTCTAATGTTAATTTCCTGTGTTTTAGTGTTTAACATAGTTTCCTCTAGTGCTTAGGTGGAACAACTTGAAAGCACAAATTAAAGATGTGTTAGTTATCAGCATTAGACCTCTCTAAAAGGGAATGGCAAAATCTAGATGGAATGTGACTTACTTAAATATTAAATAATTCTCCCTCCATTGAGCCAGGTCATTGTTTATAGACATAAGAAGTATAAATTTCTCCTTTAAGAAGTAATACTTCAGGGAGCCTGGGTGGCTCAGTTGGTTAAGCAACTGCCTTCGGCTCAGGTCATGATCCTGGAGTCCCGGGATCGAGTCCTGCATCGGGCTCCCTGCTCAGCAGGGAGTCTGCTTCTCCCTCTCCCGCTCCCCACTCTTGTGCTCTTTCTCTCTCTCACTCTCTCTCTCAAATAAATAAATGAAATCTTTAAAAAAAAAACCTAATTCATTATATATAAAAAAAGAAGTAATACTTCATTACTTTTATACACTAGTTTTATTTTCCATATTTTAATATAATACCATTTTATTTGGGGGTAGAGAAGAGTAGAGAAAAGACAATTTTCAATTTGTTTTCCAGTTGCATCACTTTGCTAAAAATAATTACTAATAGTGGGTTGCTTTCTGACAAGTAGAATTATGTTTTTGGAAAATTAATTGGACTTGTGTTTGCCAATTTTGTTCAGGAAGGGCTCATATTAAAATTTCACCCTTACATTAGTTTGGATTACTTTGTTTCCTTTCTACCTTCTGACTGACATGTGTGGCAGAGAAAATGTCTCCATACTATTATAGTAGTTGATTCCAGACTACGTGTTCATAGAACAGCATCAGAGCTAATTTTGGTGTCTATTACCAAGAGTTTATGCCATTCACCTTGCCTTTTTTATACGATCTCATATCTTCTAAAGGAGAATTTGTTTCTTTTCTTATTAGACATAATATCTGTGGAAACTAAATTGATTTTATTTTCTTCTATCTGCAAAGAAAGATAACAGTCTCTTTTGTATAAGTTCCAGCTGAAAATTCATTTTTTCTGAGGTTCTGCCCTCCTGCTTCTCAGGGACCCATGGTGTACTGGCCTGCAGGCATTTTCTTGCATCATTTAGTAATTTTCCTGGCTTCAGACTGATGGGGTCACCTACTGGTGACAGTTCCTTGTCAAAAAGCTGCTAAGACCACATATCAGTGTTGTCTCTGCCATCTGGGCACTATTCAGGAAGGAGGCCAGTTTGGGTATTAGCAATTTGTAGCTTAGAAATTCTGGAACCTTCCGTGACCTTCACCTCTCCTTTCCAAATTAGCCATTCTCTAGTCAATTTATCATCATATATATATATATATTTTAAATTAGAAGTTAGGCTAGTACAGTTAACATCAAAAGTACTAAGTGACTAGGCTAGCATGTCTTCATTTTCATGGTTAATTTTGATGGACTTTACAATCACATTTGGGGCATCCTATTATTTGAATGCCCCAATTGTTTTTATATCCCTTTATTATTTTATTTTATATTGAAGTTAAGCTTGGAGATATTTTCTGTTTGTTTATTTAAACGAGCTAGAGTTCAGTTGTTATATTCTTTTGCATGCTTTTCAATCTTTCACCACATCACCTGTGCCACCCTTATCCTTTGGGTCATGACAACGTCAGTTTACCTGACATAAAACAGAATTGGTGTACATGTAGTTACCTACAGTAGGCTCTCCAGAAAATTTCCAGGATTAGTTCTTGAGAATATTGAGGTAGGATCTGTTGAAGGGTGGGCACTGAAGCAATGGAGCCTTATTCACAAATAAAAATTGAGTGCATTTTGGAGCAAGCTACTCACCTGGAGTATGTGTCTTTAAACATGCTAAGCATAAAATACAAAAATAGCCTACTTCTGTGAAGAATATCTTGGCCAAGGACACTGTATTTCATCCTCATGATGAAATGCAGATTCTCCATCAAGAATCAAATTTACCATTTCAAAAAGTTATAGAAAGCAGTACTTTAAAATAATTCTAGTTGATTACATTAAAAGCATTGAACAAGTCCAATAAAGAATATTCCTTGAGTTTGTAGCTTCAAAAAGTTTTTTTTTTTTGATTGGATACATTTTCACTTGTTTTAAGCCATTCTCTCTCAGTATTTTGTCTTATAGTGTCAGATGAGTATTGTTACAATAAAGGGTTTAATTATGCTCCTATACAGTGCCCTTCACTATATGGTGCTTTTTTGTTTGCAGTTACGTTTTCATTGTGGTGCACCTTTTTTTGATGCTTGCTTACATTTTACATGAAATTGGCCTTTTTGGGGGATTCTTTTCAAAATATCATCTCTTTTTTTTTTCTTAGAAGCCTTTTTCTACTTGATATAAAACTTACTTTAAAAGTCTAATTGCATCAGAGGAAAATACTCCGAAGTCAGTGAACTACTACTTTAGCTAATGAAGGTAGAAATAAGAATTTTATTTCTACTAAATATCATATTTTCTACATATGCACCAGCAACTTTCTTTATATCTTTCTTATCTTGATTCCAACCTATTTCACAGTAAGTTACCTTAATAAATTGCTCTATTTTATCACAAAATAAGGAATGGGACTGTCTTCACAGGTATTTAGGTCAACCAGTTAAAGATGTTTAAAACGCCACTAAATTTGCCAAAAAGTAGTTCCCATATGCTCTGAGTTTCCTATTTATGATTAGGATTTCTAATGAGAATGGGAGAATATAGGATTTAAAGTCAGAAGCGAATTTCACCTATTAGTCAGCTTTCTATATAATCACCTGACTCCCTGAAATTTCCACTAATTCTCCATCAACCACTGGGAGTCATCCAAAACAATTTAAATTCCTCTTCCATGTGATACTTGTCATCAATAAATCCTCTCCCGTTTATGCTATACCTCACCAGTTCTCTCACCCATTTATTCTAGTTTTTAATTCTGTCATCATCACAGATAACTCAAGTAGACCTTAGATAAGTTATTATCCAGACGTCTTTTAAAACATATGTACTGCTGCTGGGCCATATCTCCTTCTTTTTATGCTTGGGCAATTATTGATATTGATATTGTTATTGTTATTTTTTCTGAGAGTAGGACTTTTTTGTTTCTTTTTAAATGTAAAATTATTAGCTTAAATCTGCCTTATCAGTAAGTTCTGGGATTTGATTATTTAATTCATCTTAGTATCACTTTAGGACCAGGTTTTTGTCCTCAGAATTTAATTATATATATTGAAACTAAGTAGGAGAGTGTCCTATCGTCCATCACCAGCAAACTATGTCCTGGCTAACTCTGGTGGTCACTCAGCCTTTATGAATTTCCTTGACAGTATGCTTTTCCACTTCATACTGTATCACTTTATAGATAAATAAATCAATATAAATAATTTAAATGAAAAGCCATCAGATATTCAACTCTAATTGAAGATTTACTATATCAAAAAGTGTATATAAAAAATTTGAAGACTTGGTGGTATAGTTTGAACACATGTAAAAAAAAA